GAATTGGTAAGCAATATTCTCCCTTGTAGATCGGGTTTTGACGATGGAATAGACCGAGAGTGTTACACTTGGAGAATATCGGACGAAGATAAACAACGGAGGCGCCGAATATTGTGAGCCCATTTTTTGTCCTTCAGCGCTGTATCTCACCGATGTTGTTGCAGTCATGAATTAAATGCAATAGATTGCTACCTGGTACGATAATATCATAACCGTGATTCTTTGCTGATGAGGGTTAGGCCATGATGGTTGGTAGATCCAACTTCCTTTCCCGGTCACAATACAACGCGCCACCTCCTACAGTAAGCACTGTGGGTCCACCGGAAACAATCGCGCTCGAAAAGGCATCGAACTGGAAATACCTCTTTATGGGACAAGGGATACAAGCGATGCTTTCATTAGTTCTTGCCGCGGACACTCCGCCTACATATAAGGCCACATTAGCTCTGGACAAGAAGCTGCGTGCATATGATAGCTTCTTGGATCCTACATTTCTAACAGAACTCGGCAACCCTCCGGAAAAGAATACGGCCTCCTGTCGGTCAAAGAGGCTGCGGCAATTCTTCGTTTTACTAGCCAAAGAATCCACCCTTTTGCATCTTCATCGTTCTTTCCTAAACCGAGCTGTCATTAACCCAGATGGTGACCCTATCTTGAGTAAATGGTCGATCTCGGTAATGGCAGCGTGCGCACCCTTCGTTTTCCTAAGCTACTAGCTCTCACTCTCAGTTTTTTAGATACCAGAGTGCTTGTGCCATCATACGGGAAGTGCGTTTGATGCGTGATCATCAGCCAGAGGCATTGCGGGTCCTATCTTGGTACCATGCTGTCATCACGGCTGTGGTGAGTTATCTTCGCTTCATTAGTTGCATTGCCTTTGATTAACAACTCTTTAGATAACGCTGGGTGCATTGGTAATCAAGACACCTTATTCATGCCTTGCAACTGTAGCCTATCAAGAAATGTCGTCCGGATGTGAATTACTTCGTCGCTACTTCCCTCCAGATTACTTCTTATTGGTTTGTAACATCATTATTATTCATTCCATAGTATCCTGACCTATATGATTGTCAGCCTGTTTTGAATCGTTTGGAAGAGGCCGCTAGTGGAGCATATGGATCTCGTGATAATCACCCACTCAAAGTCACGACAGCCACGCTACCAGAGGTACGCCGACCTTTGGATGGAATAGAGACTGCACAAGAAACGACTCCTGTGTCGAGTGACGGATCAATTCCAATGGCGTCGCAGCAGACCCTTGAAGGCGTCTTTGAAGGCGACAATGGTCTGTTAGACTCGACATTTTTCTCCACTTCCTATCCTCTCGATCCCACATACGGGGGCATGAATTGGCATTACATCCCCAGAAACCCTTCAAAGAAAAATACTATCGAGGAAAACCTTGTCATCGAACAGGGTGACGCCAATGCGTTGTGGACAGAACTACTCCAACAGCTATCCTCTTCTGATCCGAGTCTCCAATCAACCCTCGAATAGATTTAAAAGAACAAAAGATTTTTGAAACTGACACGTGCTCGAATATTTAGTTTCTTGGCGTAATGGTATCTCATTTGTGTCTAGAAAGATATTTAAAACGTAATGCTGAAGTAGTTCCGCGCATTGATGAAACAAAATATTATTGCTAAGATTAACAACAGTGACGAGAACAACATGTACATGATCACAAAGGAGAGGAAGGTTTGTTTTATCTATATTAAGTAGCATAACCAATTTGATGGTATGCATTCAATTTGAGAGTTGACACCTAGTAACGAATTTACTCATAAGTAGACTTTTGGGGGGGTTGGTCGGTTTGGTGAACGCATTGTAGAATGACGTAGAGAGGTCAAACTCGGGTATGATCACTACGCTTCTTCAACCGTCAATTCTTCTTCATAGCCCTCGGCCAAGGTCTCATCAAGAGCCGAAAGAATGTGCTTTTGTAGACTTGCTTTTTCCCTCTTCTTCTCCTTCCTTCGTTCCTTTCGCGATTTAGCTTCTGAAAGGAACTCTGAGGGAATATCAGCGGAACCGGAGCGTGATTGGGTAGGAGTACGATCTCCTCGGGAAGATCCTGCTCGTAGGTGAGGGGGTATGAGAGCTTCGAAGTCATGATCGTGATCTCTTATTTTTCTCTTATGGTAATGATGGTGATTATGGTGATTATGGTTACTAGTGCGTCTGGCAATGGTGGATGATAGCATCTCATCCTCCCAAAGAATAGAAT